TTGTTGACGGCGATCTCCAGCGAGGCGATCCTCTCGGCGGTCTCTTCATCCCGCTTCGCTCTCGCCTTCTCGGCCGCGGTATCCGCCATCTTTTGCAGGAGCTCTTTGATACCAGGGATCTTCAGCAACGTCGCCGCCGCCTCAGCGTCCTGGTCTTGCTCCTGTGTCTTCTCCGCCGCCGGCGGGGTATCCACTTCTTCCATCGGCTCATCGTCTGCTGCGGGTGCCGATGTGGCTGTGGAGGGTCCAGCCATGTCCTCCCGGACTGTTACACCTCCTGGCCCATCCCGGGCTTGTTCAGTTCCTTGCCCATCCCGGGCTGTTTCGATCGCCTGCCCATCCCGGGCTTGTCCTTCCCCCTGCCCATCCGGACCTTCCTCGATTCCTGACCTCCATGGGAGGCGGAAGAACTCGGCGTCTTATTGGCTCATGGCGGCTCCGGTGGGCGTGGTCGCACCTGGTGACTCCGAAGCCAAATGTTACGAATAGGATGTGGGTGTGGGGTTCCTGCCCTCTTTGAGCCGCGGACCCGCCTCGCGGGGCACCTAGGTCCTTACAGGGCACATAGGCGGGACCACCCCTCCTACTCCCGTATCCTAATATGGATAAAGGTTACAGTGGGTGAGGAATAGTACGTGCCTTGGGCAGGGCGTCCCCCACACCAAGGGCCATTAGTAGGACGTCTCCCACATCAGGCTGGTGCGCGTAACAGGAAGGGCCCGCACTTATGATTTATAGTACGCCGTGATAATGTGTTCTGTGTGTGTGCTGCCTCCAGCCAAGTACTGGCAGCGATCGCTGCCGGGAAGGGCCCGCACTAATGATTTATAGTATACCGGGATGATGTGTTCTGTGTGTGTGCTGCCTCCAGCCAAGTACCGGCAGCGATCGCTGCTGGGAAGGGCCAGCACTTATGATTTATAGTACGCCGTGATAATGTGTTCTGTGTGTGTGCTGTCTCCAGCCAAGTACTGGCAGCGATCCGATATGCCTCTATTCGCGACAAGCTTCCAGAATCTCAAAGTCCATGACGGATGGCAACGGAATGCCAGGAAAGGCAACGGAAAAAAAAACATCTTTACAGAAATTGGTGGCTGCAAACACCCCTTTGACGGACAGCTCCAGAGCCAAAAAACTGGAAGCTGACGTGGCATGAACGGCAACAGAAAACCGGCCCCGGCAAAACAACAGAAAAGTGACGGACGGATTTTTTGTCTTGAAAAAAAATACGGACAGAAAATAACAGAAAAAAAGCTGAGCAGCCACGTCTACTCCCCGCTCCGGTCTGTGCCGTGGTTTCCAAGTCCGGTCGGCCCATGTTCCTTGGGCTCTCGGGTGTGCCTGGTACTTTGGGTCCGTCAAAGTGGTCTTTGTCATCGGTTGACGCAAACCTCGTTGCAGGTCGCCTTTGTTCGCGACCGCAAGTCGCCTGGCCCCCGTCGTTATGCGTGCTTCGCTGCGGGCACCGGCAAACCTCGCTCGGCGGCCAGGGCGAGAGACGCCAATCGCCACGACTCAAAGTTTCCTTTTCCTCCCATGTGCCCATGGCAAGCATGGCGAGGCGCGCGGCGGGGGGACGATGACGCACTTTGAAAAATCCGTGGCAGGGCGGCTGCTGATGCATGCAAGGGTTACCGCAGTGCTTTGTGGCAGTAGTGCATGCACGCATGGCTGACTAGAGGTGGCCACTCAAGGGTGCCATCCGGTCCGTTAAATCCTGTTCGTTAATTTTTATCAGCTATCCGTTAAATTTCGTTAAAGAAAAAGGGAGAAAAATTCAGAAAAAACGAAAAAAATCCAAAAAAATTCGAAAAAACCCCAAAAATCACAACAACTGCGGCTAGTTGAAAATCTAGTATGCATAGGTTGAAATAAAATACAAACATACTCTCTAATAGCGAATTCCATAAACTATAAATATGAAAAAAACCCAAAAATCCCCAAAAAATCCAAAAATCCGCTAATTTTTGGTTAATTTTTGTCTTTTTTCGTTATTTTCCGTTAATTAACGGAAAATTAACGGAAATTAACCTTTGTCCGCTATTAACGGATCCGGGTGGCCACCTCTATGGCTGACTTGCCGGGCGAATATTTTAAATACCGTCAGGTTAATAAGGTGACAATTTAAAAAAGAAGTGATGAATTCGGTTGACCGTGGTTGAAGCAAATTCATTCTTGCTCGGGCGGCATGCGATGCTAAAGGCTGCTGCTTTGCCTTCTTGTGCGAGGTTTTGTTATGATGAAGAAGACATTTAATTGTATGAATTATGCAAAGAATCAAGACAACAAAATTTTGAAATTTATGTTATTCCTTAATTGCTTTTCTACCATGTCTGGGTTATCAAAATTGTTTCATCGACGGGTATGCAATTGTCAATGTTTTATAACGTAAATATAAACTTAATTTGAATTTTGCAGCTTCGGTGTGGGAGAGGGTGGGGCTGATTCAGCACCGGCTGACAAAAAGGGGCGCAGGTGGGCCCCCTGTGTGGCGGGGCGTGGGGATAGGCCCTCCCCGAAGGTCCGCCGCTCTCAGCGAGCGCGGCTGCTCGCTGGGCCGCGCAGCGGGGGCACCTGAACGCGGCCTCTGCGCCCGGGACCTCAGCGTGCGCCGGAGGCACTCGGCATCGCGGCCGGAGCTGTGGCGACTGCGCCAAGGATTGGTACCGGAGATTGCGGCCACAGGTGGGCCCGCTCGCTGCGGCGCTGCGCTGCGGGCGTGCTGGAGCGGATGGCCGCCGTGTGAGCTGGAGGGGCGCGACGCTGGGATCCCCTCGGGGCGCGAGTTGTGCCTGTGCGCTCGCCGGTTCGATTTCTGGTCCCTCGCCCGAGGTCGACGATTTGCGTCATTACGATCGTGCCGCCTTACGAAGGCGGGCGCGCCGCGTGGGATTGGCAGTGGCGACCTGGCGCCGTCTGGACCTCTCGCCGGATGCCCAATCGCTGTCGTAGGCCGCCGATTCGGGAGCCATTGCTTTAATCGACGCTCAGAGATTGGCGTCGGGGCTGGTGGTCGCGCCATCTGCGCCCTGCGGCACGTGGGCAGCGCACGGCGAGGGAGGAGCCGCCGGCAGCGAGCAGAGCCGCATCCAGAAGGGATCATCTTCCGCCAACGAAATTTGAACTCGAAATCGTTCTTCTGCGCCCCCCCACCCCCAACCCCAACCCCTACCCCGCGGCTGGCGCCCACGTCGCTGACGCTCGTCCTTTCCAGCGCGTGCCGCGGCAGGGCGTGTGTTCCACGGGTGACATGCGAACGGTCAGTGACTTGATTATGAAAATGCAGTGGAGGTGAAGCCCCTGACGCTGCACTCGCGGCGGCGAAGCGCCATGGGAGGCGTCTCGAAGCGCTGTTCCCGTACAGCTGTCTCGATTGGCTCCGGCATAACGGCAACGTCGCGCGGTTTTGCGCCGGAGCCGTGCGCTGACCCCGCCGGTGGCTACTCGTCGATTTTTAGAAACTGGCGCTCGAATGACGGGGCTGGCGATTGTCGGAATCCTGGATAATCTTCTCTTCTGCTTTGTTGGCACTGTCCTCCCTTTTGAAGTCTCTCTTGATTTCCATGTGCTACAAATGCAGAGGGACGCTTTCAGCACCAACCATGGCGTCGGCGTGTGCACAATGCCGCCAGCCGCACTGTTCCTTTCTTGCCAGCCAGTTGTTCCCCAGTCCAAAACCACTGCTCTGTGGCTGCAACACAGGCGTCACATGCATTACAAGCATGCACAAGTACACCTGCAAAACAGTACGCACATCAAATGTACAAATGGTGTGTGTGAATTCCATTTGCAACATTTGCCAAACACATGCCAAACGAGACCTTTGCACCCTTGGAGGGGCGTTGGAGGGCACAACAGCAACGAAGCGCTGCACTATAGGTGCCCCCATTTCCCTATGCGGGAATGTCCCTGTCTTTCTGCTGCAGCCTTATTTGTCTCTCTGGAGCAAAAATGGACAAGAAGAACATAAAAGGAGCGTTGCTTTGTAGCAGCTACTGGAATAACGTAAAACCAGGGAAAATGAACGAAAGCATATTGCACAAACAGGAGAATGTGGCTGTAAGCTGCATTTAAGGTTTGGTTAGTGCTTGTGAGGCTGTTGCTTGCAGTGTACTGCCAAGCTATCCTCTTATTCCCCTTTGCTACCCATTCACTTTGCTTTTTCTTGAGACCCCAGTCCTTGTTGTGCCAGGAAAGATCCTGCTGTCACACATGTCCTGTCCTGCACTTGGCCTTTCCGGATATCCTGTGTGTGATGCTTTAGAATATCATGTGCGATCCAGGGCAACAGGTCCAGCAACCTCTGCCAGTGCCAATGGACGTCTCCAGATTATTGTGTGGCATCTACGTGCAGCGCTGTTGTCAGCCTTTTAACAGCACTCACAAATGATTGTTGTTCTACTGTGTACATGTGTGGATTTGTCCATGGCATCACATTCTAGCATTTTGAGGGGAAGAAGAACGTTTTCTGGAAGTGTGCATAACTGTTGTAATCTGCAAATTGTGAGGCCCATGCTTTGTCTTTTCAAGGAAAGCTCAGCAGAAGAACATTAAGAGCATTTACCATAGATTGATAGAGCACCACCTTTCCACCTGCAAGCCCATGACTAGGAAGTTGATGATGAAGCAGTTAGGAAGTTTGGCCAGCTCAGGAGGGAGCACTGTCTTGCACCCACCTTTCAGTAGAATTTTGGTTGAGAACTTCGTGATCAGCACACAGTGTCTAGTACTTCGTTATTCTGCATGTTCGCAAAAAGGGTGGTGCGCAGGGTATGAGTGGGCAGTATGAAGCTGTGAAGCAGATTGCGTGCCATGAAAGTGAATGGTTGAAGTCCACACACATTTGTACAAATTTCAAATCGTAATCGAAAAGAGACGACAAGTTGCAGGCATGCGTGTTGTGAAATGTGCCATATGTTTGACCCCAACAAAAGCTAGGCAGCCAGACGTGTTCGTGAAGTTCGCCGATTTGTTTGATGCATCGAAGGGCCTAGTGTGCGATGCACGACTTAATGTGTTCCTCCGTGTGGAATGCAACGAATAGCAAGGAACAGCAGCTGATAGCTCGTTTGTGGGTTCCTGGAGAAGGTGATGATACCCTTGGCATCTTTGGAGGCCTAGGTGTGGCACTCCTGGAACCCTGGAGGAGCATCTGGAGAGAAACAAGTAGGTGCGCGCACAACCTGGTTAGGTGTCTTGGGGATCGATCACGTCCTGCAAGACAGTGACCATCAGTCCATGTCTGGGACACAGTTTGATTAAACTTGGCAAGAAGTGACGACACGTTGCCCTTGTGCTTTCTTTCAGCGATGTGTGCAATTCCATTTGTGCATCGTGGCTGTTTCGTCTGTTCGTTTTGGTCCTCGTGTGGTGGGAACAGCTGCTTGGAAGAGTGCAAGCCTTGCGGCTGGCAGAAGGATACATACGCCATAGTCGAATTCGGTGCAAGTGCGTTGCTCTGTTCAACAGATGGTTGTTCCCAACAATCGGAATAGTTTATCTGTTTCCTGTCAGCAAATCCAGAGAATTGAACCAAGATGGAAACCAGCCAGATAATGCTATTGATAACGAAGATGCGATTCATTGAGCATTCTGGGCGTTCTCACTTTCCTTGGATCGATACCATAATTGGACAGTAGAATGGGACCATGGCTTTTGTTATGCTGGCTGGTTTCCCCTCTTTCCTTGGCTTCCACGTCCCCTTGCCCCGTACGGTGGCCATGGCCTCCCAGCAGCATCAACCAGACGATCCAGACTTCTGATTGTGTGATCAACCTATTGCCGATTTTGAAAACGGACATGTTTGACAAAATGAACGTGTTTAATTATCGTGGCTTCCATTGCCGCACTTGCTTTCACTCCGACAACGCAGAATTGCCGTCATTTGCTGCGCTGGAACGCGTGCTTGAGCGCCAACCCGAGCGAAACGCGGCCGCCCCAGCAATGTGCATTTTGTCATCCGCTCGTCCGCTGCGCTGACATACTTGGTCGAACAAGCGAGGGCCCTCTCCGCCCCCGCCTTGCCGTACGGCTCCGCACCGTCCGTACGACACCATCCCGAACCGTACGGCACCTCACCCTTTCTGCTTGCGATTCTGGCACAACCCCTTCCGCCCTCGCATCCAAACCCGAACCCCAGAACCTCGGCGCACTGACCACCCCCCGCCGCAGGCATGAGCGCCGGCTACCAGTACTGCGACGCGCTTGTGCGCGTCAAGCTGGTGGAGTCCCCCGCGGCATCCCCGCCGGCCTCCGCGCCGCGCCATTCCGACGGCCATGCCATCCGCCGGAACGACTGCCCCACGCCGCCCGACAGCAAGAAGCGCAAGCGCTGCACCGAAGACCACGCCTCGATCGCCGCCGGGCACCGGCAATCCGGATCTCGGGACTCGGGATCCGGATCGGTCGATGCGGCGGAGAAGAGGGAAAGCGCGCCGGACCGCGTGGAGTACGACGCCTCAGCGTTCTGCCTGGCCAGCGCGTCCCCGTACTTTAGGTCGGCGCTGGACAGGTGGTGCGATCGGGCGGGCGGGAGGAGCGTTGTTGAAGTCGAGGCGGCGGCATCCGAGCTGCCTGCGCTCAAGGTGCTGCTGGGATTCGTCCATGGGCGGGATTTGCCTTCCGAGGTGGATCCTGAGGATTTGCTGTCCCTGCTGGTGCTGGCGGACCGGTACATCATTGATCGGCTGGTGCCGTTCGTGTGCAAGCGGCTGGTGAGGATGGGGTTGGGCTGGCGGGGGGCAGCGAGGGTGCTGGGCCTGTTCGAGGCGCCTCGGGGGTGCCTGGCGCCCGCCACGCGCTATTTGATGGAGGCGGCGGACAGGGCGCTTATTGAAGAATTTTCGGACCTCGAACGAGCGTGGATGTGCCCGGAGGACAGGGAGCGGTTCCTGGGGCTGCCGCTGGCTGCGGTTCTGTCGCTGCTGAGCAGTGATGGGCTTAGGGTGGGCGCCGAGGAGACGGCGTTCTGGGCGGTCACCGAGTGGCTTGCAAGGCATTTTCCGGGGCAGGCTGGGTCCGCCCCGCCGGGCAACGAGGCGTATCTCCGCGCCGCCACGCAGCTGGGGAACTGCGTGCGCTTCCCGCTGATCGCAGCGCCCTATCTGCACGGGATCGTGGCGGGCGCGGCGTGGGTGAGGGATGCGGACCCGGCGGGCGCATGGGTGGAGGATGCGCTGGAGTTTGATGCGCTGAGCGGGCGTGAGCGGGAGGCGATCCGCGGGCAGACTTGGCGGCGGGACAGGCGTTTCAGGGCGCGGGCGCCGTCGCCGAGGCCGGAGGTGTTCGTGTCGTGGGCGGCCAGCCCGGAGGAGTTCAGGGAGGGGGCGCTGTCCGGGTCGGGGGCCACATCCCCTGAAGTCTGGTACAAGGTGAGGCTCTCGACTCGGCGCGGCACATAGGACTGGTGGCCTTCCCCGTCCTCCTTCTTTTGTTCGTTGTTGCTTTGGGCCTGTTCCTATGCTATTAATTGTATTGTATGTTCTTGTTGCTTAGCCAATTTGTGCATTGCTTTGTTGATCAGGACTCCTGATTTTGGACTTCTCACTATCTCTTGTGATGATTCCATGGTGTGCAGTTGTCAGGACAAACAAACCGCATGCATCCTGCCAGCAATATATCTCGCAGGCATAGAAACAGCCATTTCATATTCAATATTTCAATATTTTGATGTCTTTCGTATCAGTACTTAAATTCACTGCATGTCTTGCCGTTGTGTACCTTATGATTGACTGGTTGTGCTGCAAGGGCTATGTGTGGACCCTCCAGTGCGAGGTTGCCGATAAGGCCTCCCCCGGCGGCGGGGTCATGATGGGCTTGTATGTGGACCCCCCGGGCGTCGCCTCTACCAGTCTACGCGTGGGCTGGCAGGGGGAGATGCTGCAGGTGCCGCCAGAGGCGGGCGTGCGGAGGGTCACCTTCCGCACAGCCACGCGTTCGGGCCTGCACAACGAGGTGGCTGTGGACTCTCACGACTGGACGCTGGGCGAGGGTTACTATGTGCCAGACTTTTTCAGGGCACCGTTGGAGGCGGTGGTTGCGCCCGACAGCAGGTTCGTGGTGGATGGCAAGATCAGGATGAGCGTGAAGATATCCCCCGAGGCGGACCGGTCGTCCATGCAGTCGCTGCGCCGACGCTTCCTGAACAGGCCATATATGGACATGGCCAATCAGTGATTTGATCAAGTAATAGGGATTAGAGAAGGGGTGTGCCTCCACAATTTGGGAAGGGTGTGGGGGCTGCTTGGTTCTATGGATGGGTGGCTTCTGGCATCATTGTGTGCTGGGTGGAAACGGGCAGTCAGCGACTGAGGCTCGTCGTTGGCTTGGGTGCATGTACTTGCAATCGCAGCTGGATGTTGGAAACATGAGGGTTTAGGGGTGGGGGTTTGGGTTGGGAAGTCGGCGGTGCGGCAGTCTACAGGAAGGTGCTGACTGCTGCAAGGATGGTTGACAGAACAGCATACAGTGCCAATGCACTGTCGAGCCCTGTGTTCAAGGGGGTGAGGGGACGAAAATAGGGGCAGGGTGGGCTGTGGGCCCACCCCCAGCTGGTGGGGGTGGGGCCAACTGTATTTTTATGCTGTTTGGGCGGCAGCATTGGCTGCGATCTGCCAATTAAGCAAGGTGCACCAAGGTACAGAATGCGATGGGTGCTGTAAGACAGCGGCATATTGTATGTAATGATCATTCGGACACATCACGATCCTGTGTGCTGGTAGACTGTGGGGCATGAGCATGCGGTGTGTTGGTACAGTGCAGATCAACAGAGTGGGGGAGCAATTGCAAGTAGGAATGTCGACTCAACAACCTGGGCCGCCAACAGGCTCAACATCCGTCGTTCAGAATCCCAATGATGAGTCAACCTGATGTCGCAGCTCTTGGCTGTCAAAATGCGCCGGACCCAATACTGACGTCCGGCGTACATTAATAAGCATATTAATACGACTACAGGTTTTCGACTTGAATTCCTACGTCCGATGTCAGCTGTGCTTGTGTTAACCTTCACAATCCCGTGTTCTGGACAGATCTGGGCAAACAGGACACGTTTAGACAACGTACCATATGGTGAAATAGTACCAAAATACTTTTAGCATTGTAAAGTTGCCGGGGGAGGTAGAGCATTCTCCTTGAAATCGAACCCGTCAACGACTGCCAGGCGCTTCCCATCCGCCCATCACCAAGGTAATGCAAATCACCGGTCCAGCGAACTCTTTTGTGCCTCAGTGTTCGCTGTCAGCCAATCGGGTGATCTGAGGATGTGAGGGACTCGCCCTCGCAATCTAAATGTCCGCAAGGACAAGAATCCAACCAAACAGCTGTCGACGGGAGTGCAAGCTCTCCTGACTTAAGATTTGCATCAGATATCGAGTGGAAGGAACAGCCTCCTGCACAAACAGCGAACAAAAATGGTGTGAGAATGTCAGGCTTTGCAAATGGGGTCCCAGCGAATGGAAATACACTTCAATCGTTAGTGTTCATCACGGTTAGTACTTCGTTAGTCATGTCCACCGATTCATGCGCGCCAACTGAAAGATAAAATCAACGCTTGTGCTGTGATTGCATCTGCCCCCTTGCAGTATGCTTCCTGGTGGGTAATTGAAGTGTCATTGCAATGGATTTACACATCCGACATTGGGCCGCACAGTTCGCACACTCCACTTGAAATCCTGCACTGTTGCGCTCACTGATTGCTCATGAACATTCGCTAATATTTAATATACGATGATGTCATTCGCGTAAGCTTCCAAACCAGTGAACCTCACTCACCACAAGTGCACGCGTCACGGCACCTGATCCATTGCATCATCATCCCCTTCAAGCGGCGGAAGTGGAACGAATGCTAGCATGCGCAGGTTCACTCACCCGGTCGTCTTTTGATCGATATAACGAGGAGCCACTGCCCACTGCCCGTCCAGGCAGAGCTGTGCGGTTTTTGTTTGTGGCGTTGTTGTTGTGTTTGATCGGCTTGTTGGGTCCACACCCATGACGGCTAACGCTGAGTGTCACTTGGCGCTTACTTCCACACTGCGCTCGCCCGTTGTACGTGTCGCAGCAGCCTCATTTGATGCGCCTCGGAGCACGTCAAGGGCCCTCGGAGTAGGGGACGCCTCTCAAGGTTGGTGCGCTTGGTGTTTTCCATTTACGTGCTGCATGCTGTGGTCCCAACGGTAGCGGGCAGCTCGTCGGCCCATATCCACCGCAGTCACCCATTCCGCCATACTTATCTGTCCATCCGGTTATTCCTCACAGCATTTGCAAACAGCATTGTGATGGCGCCCTGTCTGCTTTGTTTTCACGCCCATCATCGCCTACCAGGCGCACGGGCTGTGTTTGTTCATTTTGTGACAAATGTAATCTATTGATTTCGATGATGGCGCCCTATGCCGCCCCATGTCGCATCGGTGATGCCGTGCCCACAGCATTTGACGCGACTATTGTCGAAGTACTGTTCATTGCTTGTGTAGCGGTCTGCACAGTGATGGGTACTTGAAAGGCATGAGCACAACAAATGATACTGTGTTCTGATGATATGCTTCATCCATCTCATCACAGCTAGCAAGCAGGGATGGATTTGAAGATGAAATTTAATGACTTGGTCATTTACGTACATTGGATTTGGGGAAATGGCGCTTCGTTAATGAGTCAACTGACTAGTCTATTTGCCAAACACTTCGTCTACCCAGAGCTCAGTTGTATGGGATTGTATGGGATTCCCAGTATTCCGGGGGAACGCAACATTGGCGAACGCTTCGGAAACGCAGTTTGCTTATGGCAGGTTCAGGACAAGCATTGATACAGATCTGCCACATTTCTATGCGTGTAAGTTGTTTCCCGAAAGTACCATAAAAGGAAGGGGGGCATGAACGTGAAGCCCCTCGTCAACTTAATACCACTATCTTCCAATTCGGAAGCTGCATTCGGCCCCCACCATCCACTGGGAAAATCCTTGTCGTCCAAGGAAGGTATTTTCAAAAGCGCCAACAATGCAATCCAAAGCGCCTGCCCCCTGCGGCCACCGAGCACCGGGACCGACCTCAGCGTCTTATGTCCGAGGCTCAAATCCTGCACCCCAAATGTCCATGTGGACCCACTTTGGGTGACCACCTCCGCGAGAAAAAAATCCCGTCCAAAATTGGGAAACACTGATATTCCTTGTTCTTCTCATTCACCTGCAGACAAAGCCGGGTCCGCGCCTTGCCCCAAAACCGGGCACCAGCTTCCCCCGCCCCCATTCCCTCCTGCGCACCACCACAGCCACCGAGCGAACCACAGCCAGCGCTGACCCACGGAAATGCCGGCGGGGCCGCCGACCGACGCAGGCCCCTCCGGGCCCGTTGGCGCGACCCTGGGCGCCTCGGGGGATGCGATCGAGCGCCCCGCGGTGCCGCCAGCCGCCACTGGGCGCCCCGACGAAGGGTCGGAGACGCGGGGGCTGGAGGGTTTGACGATGGATATGGGAGCTACCGGAAGGCGGTCATCGGAAGGCGCAAGCTCGAGGACCTTGGGGCCCGATGAGCGGCCTGGGTGCTCAGCCAGCGAGAGGCGTGAAGTTCCGGATCGTGTAGTTGGACAGAGAGGTGCTTGTGATTTTGAGTTGTCCGAGGAAGCGCCCGGGGGCAGTGCACCCGCAGGGAGGCCAGATGATGACCTGCCGGAAGGGTCCCTTGAATTCATCGATTCGGAAGACGGGGACGAGGCGGCCATGTGTTTGGCCCAAAGCGGGGGATCCGAGGAAAAGGGGGACCAGAATGTCGCCGACTGTGGGGTCTTCAAGGGGCGCCACCGTGCACCAGCAGCCGCCTCGACATCGGCGTCCTGCCCGGGAACGGCGCCAAAGTTAACACCGTCCGGGGGAGGGGCATTGATGCATCATCAGCCCAGGGGGTTGATCGACGTGGGGGTCTCGCAGGACGAGTCCAAGCGCATGGTCTTGAGGACTGTGGAGGCGCAGGACGTGAGTCTGTTTGCTCCCCCGAGGTCTGGCAAGCTTGCTCGCCTTGCAGGCGTGCTGCGCAGGTCGAGTGGGCGACCAAAGCTGGCAGAATCCGGAGGGGGTGTCGGACCGGAGGGGGAGGGCCATGAGGCGGCCTTGCCTCGGGAGACCGTGTTGGTACCCGCAGCGGACGAAACCGTGCGGATGACGCTGAAGCCCTGGCTGCGGGACAGTTGGAAAATCAGGGGCGAGATATCGACCATTACGGAAGAAATGGGCGAAGACACAATTGCAGAGGTTTTGAAGGACGTTTGCAGCAATAGGGGGAGTGCCGCGATCGCAGCACGACATTTGTGTTCATACCGTGAGTGCCTGCAGCTGGAAAGTACGCTCAGTGGTCTGTGCGAACCTGGAGAGAGGCAACAGGCCATGACTTTTGCGCTGTCCCTTGAGGACAAGCTGCAGCGGCTTTACTTTGGGACTCCATTTTTACGTGCGGAGTACCCAGTCCCTACACGTACACCACTCAGGAAAGAACCGATTACCCTATACGCAGCCATAATTACTCTGCAGCTTGTGAAGGATGTGCTGCTTGTAGTTCTCGATCTCACCGAATTCCAGGGGTTGGCAGACACTGGGTTTGCTGGATTGTCACAATTACAGCCGTATCAACTAGAGCCATCAGTCAGAGCACAGCAGCTGCACTATGGCTCTTTGTCAGCATTATCTATCTTTTTTAAAAAATGGTTGCAAGATGAATTGGTGCAATGGTGGAATGTAATGGGAACAGGAAAGGATGTGTCTTTGAAAGATCTGGTGGTTGGCATTCATGAGCGCAAAGTCATCCTTCCATTCGGATCAAAATATGATGGTGGAACACAGAAAGCGGTGGACCTGATGGCATTTGCAGCAAAGGGCATCCGTGATCTACGAGTTTATGGTGACATTGCTTGGTTCAGTGATTTTGCAGTTGGGCATGTCAAGTACAAGCACATCACTATTGCAGCCGTATGCGACATTGTTGAAGCAGATTTAAACACATTTTGTAATACTACCCTGGAGGTGACAGACAGTATGGAGACACGCATGTACGCCATTTCCACAGGACTAGGTTGGAAGCACATTTTGAGCTCCAGGTACTTTGTTTCCGAAGTGTGGCAGGCAGCCGCTGCCCAAGAGATTGTCAGCTCTCCCCCACAAGTCTACCATCTCCACCCAGCACTGCACTCAGTGACAATGT